GGGGAGAGGGGTTGGAGCCCTACATTGTGCTCCCCAACCCGAGGGTCCAGTGACAGGAAAATGAGCCCCCAGAATGTTTGGCTTTAAAGGCCAGCAGGGATTACTTTTGCGGGAGCCAAAGGGCTGTGGGAAATAGAAACTCCACTCTTAAAGGGTACACACAAAATCTCACATACTCTAGGACTCAGGGAAGAAGTAGTCATTTGAAAGGAACCTGTGGCAGACCCACCTGCTGATATTGGAAAGTGTTCCAGAGAGGCAGGAGGAAACTGGAGACCGAGACACGGGCGGCAGCCATTTTGGGGAGCTTATTCTACCACGGAGACACTGGAACCATTCTGGAGCCCTCCCTCCAGCTTATTAGCTCCAAGAACCAGACCCGTCCCCACTCACCAGCCTGCAGGCACCAGTACTGAGACATCTCAGGCCAAGTGACTAGCTGGGAGGGGACACAGACCCACCACCAGCAGGCCAGCTGCCTGAAGACCTGCTGAGCCTATAGCAATCCTGGATACAGCCCTATCCATCAGAGATTCCAGGACGTGGCCCCACACACCAGGGTGCAAACACTAGATCCGGGACCCCCCAGGGTCCTTCAGCTAGAGACATGGGGAGCCTGCTCCATCTGCAGTGCACAGGCACCAATCCCAGAACCCCCTGGGCTATATCCCTGCCCATCAGCCAGCCAGTTCTAGCCTTGGTACCAGCCTCACCCACCAGCAGGTGGACATCTGCCCCCAAACAATGGTAGCCCTGCAGCCTGCCATGGCAGGACCCAGTCCTCTCACCAGCAGGCCAGCCCTAACCCTGAGACACCTTGGGGCCCTCAGCCAGTCGCCCCAGGATCTGACCCCATTCTTCAGCAGGGAGACACAACTTTGGGATACCCTGGACCCTGCAGCCAGCTGTATCAGGAACTGGCCCCACCCAACAGTGATCCAACACCAGCTCTGGGAGCCCTGGACCCTGCAGCCAGAGACCCCAGGACTAGACCCTGCCCAGCAACAGGTCAACTCCAGATTTGGGACACCTTGGGCACCTCAGCCAATGGCCCTGGGATCTAGCCCCACCCACTAGCTTTGGGACCCCCAGGGCCCTTCAGTCAGAGTCCCCAGGACCCAGCTCCACCCACCAGTGAGCCAGCACTAGCCCTGGGACTCGCTGGGGTTCCACAGCCAGGCTTGTCATTACGCAGCCCTACCAACAAGTGGCCAGCAGCCTCCACACAAGGCAGGGCCCGACAACCAGCTGAACAGGGGGCCAGCCATGCTGACCAGCACGTCCACAGTAGTCCACCCACCACAACAGAAGGACCCACACAGGCCACATAGGGGGAACCCCTAGAGTACATAGCTCTGGTTAGCAGACCTGCTGAAACGTATATCTCCTACAAAAGGCCACTTCTCTAACACTGGGAAACATAACCAACCTACCAGATACAAAGGATGAAATTTTGCATTTTCCACAACATGGATGGACCTAGAGGGTATTATGCTTAGTGAAATAAGTCAAACAAAGACAAATACTTTACGTTGTCATTTATATGGGGAACCAGAAAATAAAATAAATGAATCAATATATCAAAACAGAAACAGACTCACAGATATACAGAACAAACTAGTGGTTTCCAGTGGGGCTAGGGAAGAAGCGGGGAGGGGCAACATAGGGGTAGAGGATTAAGAGGTAAAGATGACTATGTATAAAATTAATAATCTACAAGGATATATTGTACAGCACAGGGAGTGTAGTCATTATTTTATAATAACATCAAGTGGAGTAGTTTTGAATCACTATGTTGTACACCTGAAACGACTATAATATTGTAAATCAGCTATCCCTCAATAAAAAAAACCGTTTTAAGAAGAAAAAGTAAAAAAAAACAACCAACCAACAAACTACATTAAGTAAATGTTAGTAAGCATATGAGTGAGGAAAAAAAAGAAAGGAAGGAAGGAACGGAGGGAGGGAGGGAGGGAGGGAGGGAGGGAGGAAGGAAGGAAGGAAAACTTAAAGAGCATCACCGATTTTTCATCTTTCTGCTCCTTAACCAATATAACCACTAGACAATATATAAAGTGAAACCATGAAATAAAAACATTCTCCATAAAAATAAGAAAAAAAACCTTTGTATCAAATCATCCTAGACCATAAAGCATAAAGAAAATAGATACCTGACATCTATGTTTAATATAGATACCAGGCCAAAAAACAAAAAACTTTACATGTTTCTCAGCCCAGGAAATCTCTATTTATGCTATTATTTTATCCTTTGCAATAAGAAGAATGGAGCTCCTTTGTACTGCAGTAAGAAGAAGGGAGGTTCTTGCCAGTATCTAGAAAGAAATTTTGCTTCACCCTTCATATTCTAAGCTTCATGCCCTGATAAGTATGGCCATATGTGTCTCCCCTTCAGGAACAGAAAACTATAGTGCTCGGATTCCTCCAGAGGAAGTGAGATGGCTTGGGCAGAATGAATAAATATCCTATCTTCATTGGGGTACTGAAAGTCAAGGCATTACAGATGTCAGAAACCAGAAAACAAGGCAGCGGGTATCTACCAGAACCATGATTTGAAGGAATGGAAAGGAGTCATTGAAATAGAGACCTAGGAACCTGACTTTCCAAATCATACCTAGATGTGTACGCTCAGCTTTTTTAGAAGCCAGCCCCAAACATCTGCCCTCTTTCTTTTTTTCTGCTTCACTCTTCCCCAATTGACAGCCTCCACCCTCATCCATCATCTCCTCTGTCTCCTGGCCTATTCCAGCCTTTAGTTTCTAAGTCAATATGACTTCCCAACCTAGAATTTAGTGCCTATTCTGGGCTAAGGATACAACAATAAATGAAAAAACATCTCAGCCCTCAGTGAGCTTAAATTCTAGATGGAGGAAAAAGATAAAAAAATAATAAATTTAAAAATTTTTTTAATAAATTAAAAATTAAAATACAGAGAATTAGTTGACTATATGACAATGATGGTCATCAAATTTTTGACCTGCAAAAATGGCAATTTCATGAGTCAACCTTTATATTAAATTGTGATAACATTTTAAAAATTAAGCAAGAGAGAATAGGTAGTAGGGTGTATGGGAAAGTGAGCACAGAGAGGGTTACAACTTAAAACAGGGCAATCAGTGTCTAAGTGGTAGAATTATATGAGATTGTTTTTCTACTCTTTCATTATTTCTCTAAGGAGCATGCATTCCTTCATAATGAGTATTTTAAAACTTTATGACATTAAAATTGCTGACAAACTGAAATGAGTCATACAAACATGTAAATTTTAGGGTATTTACATCAAGCAAGAATATAAGATACAGATCATATTAACACAATCTTATTCACGCCCTATGAAATTAGGGTAAAATACAGTGTGGTATAAAACATCTAATATTTATGTTCTAGGCCATAAATTTTAAAAATAAGAAGGAAACTATTTTAATGAGTATTGTAGAAATACAACTTATGTTACATTTTTTAAATGTGCATGATCAAAGAACAAAACACTCTCATTGTTAGATCAGCCAAATAACAGACTGCCATCTAACACATGCCTTTCAGTATTTAAACTGTTTGTGAAACAAAAATGTGGGGAGAGGGAAGCACTACTTACAAAATGTACCTATCTACAAGGCAGCTTAATTAAAAAATAAACTAATATATAACTTAAACACTAAAACAATAACTATGGTATGATGACAACTTTTTAAATAAATTCCAGAAAAATTAGGATACTAGTAAAATTAATTATTAAATTAATTAAACATAGACTAAAATCTAAAAGGAAGACATGAATTCTCCTGAATACTGATTGACCTCACTCAATAATCTTAACAGTGCACATGTGCCCTTTCCTCAAAGGAAATCTCTAAACCAGCACTGTGCAACAGAACTTTCTGTAATGTTGGAAATGTTCTGCCTTGTCCTATAAGGTAACCACTAACTACACATGGCTACTGAGCATTTGAAATGCGGTTCATGCAACTAAGAAACAGAATTTTTTATTTTATTTTAATTATTTAATTTTAATTTAAACAGCCACAAGAGGCTAGTGGCTACCTATCCAGATAGTACAGCTCTAAGAACTGCCTCTTACATCCTTTTTTTTATTAACTCAGAGTCTTCCACCTGGCTGATTCCCCACTGTAGACAAATTAGGCCCTAGTTCTCACTCTCGGTCTACCGTACTGTGCTCCTGGCCTCAAACTTTCTTCCTAAGTTGTTGCACAGCTGATTTCAGCAAAGCTGTGGTCCAGTGCTGCTCAGCTCAGAAACACTGGCTGACAGAGCCCTGGTCTCTTCCTGCTTGCCCAGGATAAGAAGTGGGATACTAATGCTTTTTTTAAAAAGTGAATAGACAACTAAATGTCCTGTAAGACTTCTTAGATACTAACCCAGAGGGAAGAGATTAAATCCAGTGATTCATCAAAAGCCACTCCCAAACTTAAAATTCTACTATCCCAAACCTAAAATTCTAGGTAATGACAATTTCAAAAATTATATAGTATTTACAGAATAATTCCAGTACCTTAAACCTTACAAAACTCAACTCCCAAATCAAAGCATCTAATGGCATTATTTGGAATCACACTATCATGCAACCACTCCCCTGACTCACTGAGCAAAAAGGGTAACTAACCTCTTCTGCTGTTCTTAAGAAAGATGTTTTAATACTCAAAGTATTATTTTCCTAATTTACTGTCATTCATAGGAACTTAGGTCATATATATCTTTATGCAAAATATTGGAGTAAATCTTTCCCTCAATTTTACATTCTTAAAGCTGTTACAGTTGTTCAATTTCAAGCAGATACCCATTTTCTGTTATTTACCAGACTTTATAACTTACAGTCAATAGATACAATAGTTTTAAATATAGTATTTAACTGATATTGGAAAACGAAGTAAAATATACTAAGAAAAAAAATTTTACAGCAGGATAAGAAACTGGATTCAATGTGTGTATCTGAAAACAGTGAGTGCAGCTCAAGAAAAACTTACTGATTTAGCAGGACATCAAGAATAAACGATGTTCCAAAGGCACCCAGCAGGAAGCTTGCCTGGTCAACGTGAGTCAACTGCAATATCAGAAAGATAAAAGGTATTTATTATTCAGCCACAGAGATCAAATGATAAGCACTTCTCATGATCATTTGAAAGTTTTATAATATAAATTAGAAAACCAGTTCAACATAGAAATTAAATAAAAACAGTAAAATTTGCACCTTCTTAGAAGCTATTCACTAATCTAAAGTACCACTTAATCAAGGAGGGCAAGTACCCTCCCTTTCTGCTTTATCTCAAGTGGTTAAACATTTCATTTCCAAGAAGACTGAACGACATTTCATTCTGTTTTAGATGACTGACTCCTTTAAAATTAAGCTTTGTAGATTAAAAAAGAAATAAGGAAAAATGTGTTCAATACAAGAGTATATTAAGATGATGAATGTGATCTATTTACAAGGAAGACATCTAAACTTCTAAAAAACCCTTTTCATCCTATCTCAAATACATACTTTCAAAGTAATAGTTCAGTTCTAATTTACCAAATGTAATTTCATAGAGGTTTCCACAATTTCCTAAGAGAAAAACTGAGCCTCTGCCCATCTACTGCAAACATCACCCATCAAAAGTTTATTGGGAAAAAAATCACTATTTCCTATGCCAATCTAGGGACTACCAGAGAAAATCACAAGGGACTCTAAAAAACATACAGTGTTACCAATAACATTAATATTAGCATATTGAATAACCACATGTAATAATTGAAAAGAAAGGAGGAAGGAAGCAGAACTATTTATTTTATTTATTTATTTATTTATTTATTTGCGGTACGCGGGCCTCTCACTGTTGTGGCCTCTCACGTTGCGGAGCACAGGCTCCGGACGCTCAGGCTCAACAGCCATGGCTCACGGGCCCAGCCGCTCCGCGGCATGTGGGATCTTCCCGGACTGGGGCACGAACCCGCGTCCCCTGCATCGGCAGGCGGACTCTCAACCACTGCGCCACCAGGGAAGCCCAGAAGTATTTATTTTGACTCCCCATGTTAACAGTAGCTATACCCGAGCAGTAGAACTATAAATTATTTGATTTTTTGGTTCATATTTGTCTATAGTATCCAAAATTTCTACAATAAACATGTATAATTCCTGCAGTGAGAAAAGAAAACATACACTATTTTAGAGATATAAACCATCTGAGCAACTGTATTTATGTAGCAAGTGAGGCAGATGGTCGTGCTGCTCCCCGAGAACCAGCGCATCTTAGGAAGGGACATTCTAGGATTCTGTGGGGCACAAAGGGCACCTCAATCATACCTAGGATTTTCACACTCATTAAGCTATGGTATCAGGAGAAAGGAGAGTGCTTAATAATCATAAAGCTTTCTGGAAACAGAGGATAACATTTCCATTTTAAAATCTTTGAAATAAGTGGGAGTGGGAGAATGCCACACCTCAGTTGCTAACACATTCCAATCCTCATGAAACCGCAAGGATGAAGAACTACCTGGATACTTCTTAGCCTCATTAAACATCCAACCCTAACTCCTCACTCTTCCCAATTAACACCCAGGTTATCACCAAATTCTGGCTTCTTTTTTCTTTTTATGATGGTTCTTGGATCCACACTTTACTCTTCATTTTCATACCTGCCACAGTTCATATCCTCCCTGATTTTCCTAAAACTGACTCCTTACCAAAACCCCAAATGTAAGTCCTATATTTTCTACTACATCAAACACAAACTTTCTCTCTCTGCATATCAAGATCCTCCACAATCACCTCCCCCACCCCAGACATAACAGCACACAAGTTCCCAAGGACCCACCCATATCCCATTCACACTCAGTTCTCTCTTCTACTCTTTAATTCCACAAACTATGTGCATTCCAACTCTTTCTATAGCTTTCATTCATCACTTGTGCTTTTCCAAACCAGACCCTGGGGTAGTGATCTTCACCATGGCCATTTCCCAGAAATGGCCCTATTCATCCTTCAAGACTTAGATCAAGTTCCTTTTTGTATTAGTCTACCCGGGGCTACCATAAGAAAGTACCACAGATCGGATGATGTAAACAACAGAAATTTGCTTTCTCACAGTTCTGGAGGCTGGAAGTCCAAGCTCAAGGTGTTGGCAGATTTGGTTTCTCCTGAGGCCTCTCTCCTTGGCTTGCAGATGGCCACATGGTTTCCTCTCTATGCATGTGTACCCCAGGTCTCTCTCTCTCTCTCTCTCTCTCTCTCTCTCTCCCCCTC